ATTAAATTTTCAATTCAAAAATAGTGAAAACATTTGGATACCAATGACATTAGATAGAGTTTTATTTCCGACGTTCAATAAAACGTTTTTATTAAACATCTTGTTGTTGTGTAGTATACTGCGCCCGCTACAGCCAAATTTGTGTGAACTCCAAAGTCGCCATAAAATAATCCTTTGGGTTGACTTAAACCTAGGCGTGAACGCCTCCTTAAAAATAATTTGTAAAATATTGTATATCTTTCTAATAAGGGAGCACAGAACATGAAACGTGAATTACAAAGCATCCTGTGCTCAATTTTAAATAAAGTTTTAGCCAATATTTGTAGTTCAGGTCAGGTCCGGGCTCAATAACCTATTAATTTTATCAAATTTTAGTGTAGTTTCGAGGTAAATTACTTTAAATTTAAGTGCTTTTATAAAGGACTGTTGCAATATATTGTTAATTGATAAATATCAGGTACTCACATTTTTTATAGTAGTGATGAACATTTATCATGATGTGTGTTAAAAACCTTACACTTTTGACATTATGTTGTGTTAATATGGCCACAAAATAATATTGTTATGTTTAAGGTATGTATGTATAAGTATTTCATAGCTTTGAGTTGCTTGAAGTATAAACCAGTATTCACAGACTGGTTCATTCGGTAACCGCGGCTAGTGTAAGGTTAATATAACTAATAATAATAATAATACAATACTTTTAATAATCTTAGATAATTCACTTTCATATTATATAAAAAAATATTATTTTTGAATCAACCTCTTTCCGTCGACAATTTTTCCACTTCAATAAACGAAACATTTACCACCCGACATATAATAACAAAGTGGCAATGTTGCAGAAACAGGGCCTTTGATATACCTAACTTTTACAAAATTAAATTAAATTATTTTCCTTTGTGTTCTGATAGAGTTTTTTTTTCCTTCTTTTTCTTTTAACTTTTTATGAGCGAACTTACTTATTAGGAAGTAAAAATTGAAAAGCAAATTATTACTTAAAAATGGTCAAATACCTTCTGTAATTAAGTGACTTTTGATCGATTTGTAGTGAACTCTTTCTTGTAGTGAAGTCTTTAAACTTCTTTATTTTTAAAGGCAACTCCAGCATCCCGCGTAGTAGTAAGCGGCGTGATGACCGCTTAAACCACTACGCCATCCGTGCAGTCAATCAATATGTATAATCGAAACAGTTTTAAGAAATATATTCGTTATATTTAAGTATTTACGCAAAAGAAGTAGAAAGCATTCTGTGGCGTCACAATATAATATATAAATATGCATCTTGCAAACTATTTACTGGACCTTGTATCTAATATTCGTATACCCCAGGGGAAAACTATATGCAAACTTAGAAGTATTCCCGGTACGTCATACGATACTCACATGGGTACGCCTGGAGAAAGTTTGGTATCAAATATAATGACTTATTAGTAAGGAAATTCAAAGTATAAGTTAGATCAAATTAGTTCAATTGGAACAAAATAAGAATATAAAATAAAAAGTAAATAATTTTCTTCTTTGCCCAGTGAATCTTACTGAAATAAGTTTTAGATTATATTAAAATCTTTTTTCATTTTTGTAATTATTCTCTATAGCGTATAAACTTCGTTTGTTATTCTAAAAACTTACTACTAATTCTATATTGGTTTGACTCATTAAAATAGGTGAATTAACTTACTTGGTAAGTAATTGTTTTGTGGTTTCATGAATTGTTTAAAATAATGAAATTTCAGCTGAAACAGAGTCAAAACAGTTTCAATTAATTGTCAGAATTTAATTTAGGGTTGGTTTATTGAAGTCTTTAATTCAATGTTACAAGGGTGAATGTGTTCGGCATCTCTTTACAGAAATTAAAAAACCTTTGAAATTACTTTGATTATGTTCACAAAACAGCTAAGCATAAGTAAACAAAATAATGTTCTGACTCATCATCACACAATTTCAGAAATTATTCCAATTAAGTGCGTTTAACTTAGTAATCAAAAAAGTTCGAATATCAGACGGCTTTTATAAATATCGGATCTTTATAAAACAATCTTTAACTTTTTATCTTTATCTTTTAACCTCAATAGCAAATAGCCCTAGGCGGGATCAGAAAGTTTGCTATTGAGTGCAAACAACAAACTGGTCTGGTCTTTGCGGTGGCTGTCTTAATCAAAGCGACCTATTTTCCTATTAGCTTACAGCGATCCGAAATGTTTAGTAGCGATCTCCTTAAGGTAATAAAAAGAAATGTTTTCTACTCATAGTTCATCAAAGTCATGCCAAAAATAAGGAAAGGCGGTATCTGACCTCTCTGATCTATTTCTAAATTTAAAATTGATGATGTATATTTACTAGAAAACTGAAACAGCGCTTTAATTTCCTTTATCCTAAAAAAAGTCTTTTTAAAAGCATTAAGAGGTGTTGTGAAGACTTGTGACTGACTGACTGAGACTGTGGAGGTGTCTTTGAAGAAGTTTGCTTTTGATTAATGCTAACTTTTATTGGAGACTCTCGGAGAAAATCATGATGGTATATCGTATTCAGAGGACATTTTTTACGGCCAACTTTACTCTGTTAATTTTAAAGAAATATTCCCCGAGCTAATAAAATGTATACTTAGATATATACTTGTAAAAGTATATTCCATTAAGTAATAATACAATTACAATCTATTATGTCAAATTAATATACGTACTCGTATATTAATTTGACATTATAAGCATTTACTAAGCATTCTAAGCTAATTTTCTGCTTTACTGAATCTAATTGTTATGTCACGGATATCGGTCAATAGGTTGATGTGCCATCGATTGAAGACAAAGTCGATATCTTTTCATTAAATTATTAGCTTTCGGCGCCGTTTCTATCCTATGTCTAGCAGTGGACTATTAAAGGCTGTTGATGATAATGAGATCATACTATAGTTCGACCTGTCAACCAATTTAAATTGGGGTTAGCGTAATGTTACGTTGCAAAGGGGTTTGACTGGTCTTTTTTAAAACCAGCTTCCCTGACACCAATCTTATCCTTTACAGATAGAATGTAGCAGGAAAGCAAATTAAAGAAGGAATGATGACTGCAAGGATGGCGTAGTGGTTGAAGCGTACGCCACGCCGCCTACTAAGCCAAGTGTTGTGGGTTTTAACCCCACTGGGATGACACTTTGTGTGATCCACAAATTGTTGTTCTGAGTCTGGGTGTTCTTTGTGTCTGTTTCATGTATGTTTGTAAAGTCCCCCGCTATGTGTCGGATATATTCCTAAGGCGGGAGTTGTCAAAAAGAAAAACAAAAGACATGAGATGAGGGGTTAAGGTTAAGGGATAATGCTAGCATCGGATGAAACGTGATGAGGGACTAAAGTAGCACTTTTCCTATTCTACTAACTATATAAGACCAATGGCATCCCGATGACATATCAATAATACAAATGTCGTCGATGTCTGTGTACCAATTTAGTAAACGGTACATTTTAAATTTGAAAGAAAAAGTTATCTTTAATTTTCCAGGTAGGGCAATGTTATAGATCTCACCATTGATGACCTAAATTACTACATCGACAGTCTATTGACATTGTGAATTTATGTTAGTAGAATACTGATATTTTCACCCATGTCAATGGCGTCTCGATGGCATCTCAATAGCGTATCAATTGAATGACAGTGCCTTGGCGTTAACATAAAACAGCAAAATTGAGGCCCTGATCGTATGTCTCTCTTGGGATTGACCTGAGTGATGGAAACATCAATCTATGATCTAAAAACTAATTTTATCAATACTATAATATAATCATTTTATATTCTCAACCTTACTGCAACTAATATAAGAAATAGTGGATTATAAAAAATATTTAATAGTAATATTTAAGTAATGTATTACTTGCGTATAATGAAATAAATAATTGAAAATTAACTGATGTTCCAGAAATTTTGATCTTTATTTTGATTTGATTGATCTTTAAATTAGTAGTAGTATTTTTAGTAAGTTTGAGCTGCGTTTGATTTATACTATCTAATAATTTATAATCAAAATCAACAATAAAAATGTATTTTTTAAATAAAAATATATTTTGAAAAGCAACAATAAAATGTATTTTTTAAATAAAAATGTATTTTTAAAAGCAACAATAAAAATGTGTTTTGAAAAGCAACAATAAAAATGTATTTTTTTTGTTGATTTTGTTTTTCAAAAAGATATAATTTTATTAAAAAAAAACATTCATGCCAAAATTTGTTTCTCTTTCTTTTTACACATTTCAATAAGGCGGCTTAGTTTTTAATCTTACAAGCAACTTACAAAGCCTATTGTGTATGTATCAACGTATTCGATGTTTACATAGGATTAATGTTTTTCATAAAAAATACTAAACGTTTTTACAACATTTTCTTTTTTAACACTACATTTGACTGATCAGAGAATAGAAAAGCTTTTAGTAGTTAAATAAGACCTACTTTTATAAATCCCAAAAATAACAGTTTTTATTGAATAAAAGAATTGAGTTGCAAATTAAAATGTAGATACGGCATTCAAACAGTTGAGTATCAAGGAAAATATTGTCTCCTAAAACAAGTACATTTAAATTTAATAATTGGAAATGATACGTAAAACAATATTTATTTTTCACTGTTTTCAGAATTAATTATCGGAGTGTCACCGCCCCTAATCATCCCGTGGGTGTCGTAAGAGCCGACTAAGGCAAAGAGAAGGAAATCTTGTAACAAATCCTGTACTAACCTATCGGGCCAGCGTGATATAGTAGGCCAATACCTCCTTTTTAAGGAGAGGTCTATGTTTAGCAGTGGACTGTTAAAGATTGTTGTTGATGATGATTGATGTTACTATTTGATACTTTTAGGTAGAAAATTTTGATCACCGTGTTTAAATTTTATGAACGAATCTAGAGTATGATCTATCGGTATGCCAGGCTTATCGACCAGTGTTATATTAATATTAACTTGTTCCAGATCAACTGTTGAAGTTGGAATGATCCCCAACACGAGTCGAGCTTTCGAAGATGATACCTTGTACCTGGCCCACGGCATTGTTCTTTTTGATATGGTATGTAATATTTAAAAATATTATCGATTTACATAAAAATATGTACATATATATATATATATATATATATGTGTGTGAGAATATCTTAAGTTTAACGTTCCGAACAAGTTTTTTTCTGTTGTAAACCGATGGAACTAAATTTACATTCATATAAACATAAGTATAAGGGACTAATAGTCACAAAACTTACATGTGTTTTAAATAAATAAGACGATTAAAGGTTGCGTCACATAACCTGCGGAGCAGGACAGTAATTTGTTGTGAGCAGTCATCATCATCATCATCAACAGCCTGTAATAGTCCACTGCTGGACATAGGCCTCTCCTTAGAAAGGAGGTTTTGGCCTACTATACCACCCTGGCCAGACGGGTTGATATAGGGTTTGTTTAAAGTTTTCCTTCTCTTTGCCGTGCTGTTATTGGCTCTTACGGCACCCACGGGATGCATAAGGGTGGTGATATTCCGTATTCTTAATCCGTCACCACACGGACCGTACAGTACCAGTACCGTTGTGAGCAGTACAAAGCACCAACTCCGAACGCCGCGCGCTACGCGTCTGTACAACATCTTCTTTGTTAACTTCTAAACTACTATCTGGTCACTCTATGTCACGCTGTCTGCCCCAGCTTTTAATCATATACTGTCAGGAAGCTTTTAAAAATCCTATGTAAATGCATTTGGTCTTCGTAAATTTTCGCTTTTCGGAGCTTTTCGCAGCTTTTCGGAATAAAATGTGTGTATGTAGTGGCAATGTCTCTGCTACGTAGTTTATGTTTTATAGTACAAGCGTTAATGCTCGTGTACTTCATTTTAGGAACATCTTTACTATATTGTTAGATTATAAACCAAAAAATATTTTATTTTATTTTATTCGGGGTGCTTAAGGTTAAATTAATAATGATTAATATGAATTAAAATGAAGTTAATGTTCTAAGTGCTGTTGTCCTGTGCAGTTTGTTCCCTTAGTCGGCTCTTAAGACACCCACGGGATGAATAGGGGGGTGACACTCCAATTAGCAGGGGGGGTGGGGCAATTTACCAACTATATTTATTAGTTCCATTTACTAATAGGGGCAAACCTAGTGCCCTCAACTTAAATAGAGCAGTAAAAATAAATTAAAAATAAATGTTAGATTAAACAACTTTTAAATACATTTTAATAGGGATCAAGAGTAATCCAGTTCCATCGTTACACCACCGTTATCAGGCCTAATCTGCTGAACTCATCAAAATGAATCATGCTTCATAATTAGATCCAGAAGGTTAATCTGATCTTGTCTGAATCTGCGAGGAATGGGAGTGGTGACCCTCCGTATTAAGAATACGGAGTGTCACAGTGTGTCATCACAGTAATGCGGTTTCCGTGTATCATTTCCTCTGTTACGGTTTACCGACAAAGTTGTATAAAGATTTGTGAACTATTAGTGTGTGATTAGCAAAGGTTTTATTTTATATAAAGGGTTTCAATAGGTAGGTTAAAATGTTTAAGACTGTGGTGTGGTGATTTTATTGTGTTGTTGATGTAAAGGATATTAATTTTAATATTTATTTTCATAACTTTATGGTTTACTTTTTATCCAGTTGGGCCTCGAACGCTCAAGTTAAATGAGTTGGTGTTATTACATTTGTTTTAAATGTTTTGGCAATATTTTTAGGTTAACTAAATTAAATGACGGTGACATACCGTGTGATGACGGATTAAGAATACAGAGTGTCACCACCCCTATTCATCCCGTTGGTGTCTTAAGAGGCGTCTAAGGGAGCAAACTACGCAGAACAACAGTACCGCAAAGAGAAGGAAAACTTGAAAAAAACCCAATACCAACCCGTCTGGCTAGCATGGTATAGTAGGCCAAAACCACCTTTCTCAGGAGAGGCCTACGTCCAGCAGTGGACTATTAAGGGCTGTTGTTGATGTTGTATCTGAACTACATTCTAACAAATTTTCATTTCGATACGATAAGTAAAAGATGGTTTAAAATCGACCTCGAAAATTTATTTACACACTTATAAGTGAAGTTGATAATAAAATTGTATTGAACATTGATTAAAATTGAAAGAACGAGATTCTGTTCTGTTGATTTCCAATTTAATCTAGTGAAATACTTTTATAAGAATTAATTGTTTTAAACTATGTTGTTTTAACACGTTTTTAATTCGCGCCTACAATTTTTAGAACAGCAACTGATTCCACAGCAAATTGAAAGTCAATAAAACCTCATTTAGCTCTCATCATTATCTTTATAGGGTTCCGTTCCATAAAAGGGAAAAGGAAGTCTTAATGAATCACTTTATTACCTGTCTATCTATTTGTCAAGTAATACCAGTTGTACCAGTTGCTATCGAATTGAAATTAACCACAAATACGTGTTTGGTTTTTTGGAGCTGGTAAAAAAAAAGCAAAATTTATGGCTATTTTAGATATATTTGAATTCGAGTTTTAAAAATGACCATTACTTTTTTTTTAACATTCACACAACGCCATCATGATCGAAACTAAGCAGATCTTGTACTATGGGTACTAGACAACTGATATAAATGCATGTATGTATACTTTTTTGGAAATACATAAATATCATACATAGAAACACCAAGACCAAATCAAACATTAAATGTTCATGCACACAAATGTTTGAGTTAAGCGGGAATTGAACTCGCGACCTTTGGAATGGCAGTCCGTTTCACAAACCACTACGCCATCCGGTCGTCAAACTTCCTCGTTATAATACAACTATGCAATAACTGCATCGTTAAGGGGATAATTCTCAACACCTATTGTTTCTGTCCTGTCAAATTATAAGCAAATAAAATATGCAACGTCCAGTGCTTTAGTAAAAGGGAATTCTATATTTTGACAGTTTTTTGCAGACGCATTAGTATAGATTTTTGTGTCAAGTTTTCTTTCTCTTCGCAGTGCTGTTGTCCTGCGTAGTTTGCTCCCTTAGTCGGCTCTTATGAGACCCTCGTAATGAATAGGAGTGGTGACAGTCTTATCCTCATCCGTGTGACGACGGATTAAGAATACAGAGTGTCACCACCCTCAGGATCTAATTGATCTTGCCAAGAACAACGCGTGCAACGATCAGTAAAAATTACAATCGTAAACAATATTACAGAATGTCCGATTCTTATTGTTCAGTCCAGTAATCGAAATTATCAATCCAGTTCAGTGACTGAATTGACGGTCGATTTTTTCTTTCCAGCTCACCGATTCTCGCACAAACAACTGTTCAATATAAGCACACAATCTATTGTTGGAATAAAAAATTGAACAGTGAACAAATATTATGGCTTTTTTAAGAAATACCCGTTAAATTAAGAATTTGGCTCAAAACCAAACGCTTAAGTTTATATTTTTGTACAGAAGAAGGTTCACTGCACACAAACCGTTGGCTTGCTTGTTTAGTGATCATTCAAATTTTCATTCATTCATTCAAAAATGACTGGTCGCGTACGTGTATAGAGTCGAGAGCACAGCTTGTCTAAATACCTTAGCACTATCTCTGTTCTCTAGTTCAGATTCAGACGACCATGTAATATGATCGATAGAAAATAGCCCAAAATTAAAAATCAGTCACATAATAGCTGTGGGTCAAACTAATTTTTGAAGTTCATTCTTGAATTCATTGTCACTGTTGTGTTAACAATTCAAAAAACGCTTAAGCAACTTAAATATTCGTAACAAAACGATACGATTCAGTAAAGTACTGTACTAGGTTGACTCACTGGGTTACAAGACTGGAAAAATTAAAGCGGGCAAAACCTTGACCTTGACATACTCAGATTACAAAGAAACTTACGTTTTTGTATTTATTACAAAACAACACTTTTCACTCTATTCTTACGTGCTTTATACATACTATTCTAGATAATCCCAGCTTATTATTATATGCTGAGGGTTCCTTAATTACGGGCGAAAAGGAAATTAAGTATGAAAAGTGAGCACTGGCGGTTAAAGCTCAGATATTAACTGAGATAACCTAAGACTAGAGAGATAATGTAATGTGTGGATTTGCATTATATCAAGATTTTTTCTTGTAATTCTTTATCTAAAAAGAACTTTAATTATATTTAAATACTCCATTCGTATTCGGAGGAAAAAATGCTGTACCTTACTGCTAATACATATATAATATATATTTATATTCACGCATGTATCCCCAAAGGGGTATCCACAGGACAATATACGCCCACATTGTGTCAACTATAATGTTAGTGCGACTTACGTAGGCAGCCTATTGCCGTCATCCAAGCACTTCAGGGATTAGACGTTAAATATAGCAGTAAATTGAATTCATTTCAATTTACTCTAAATAAGCCTTTTTTTTGTTGACGGGGTGGAAAATTACTTCGGATCTCCAGCTGATCTTAGGCGCCCGACACCGAGGACTGGACTCCAGGACTTCGCGTTCAAACCCCCGGGAACGGTCTTCCAGCTTTGCTAAGCGGAGTCCCAGTTGGCTGCGCAGTATTTGCATTGAGCCGTCTTCTCGATTCTAATCCGATACAGGTACTCACGGTACTCACTAAGGAAGCAGCCATGCCCAGTGAGTACCTGGGTCAGTGGGTAGGTGTCTTGGCCTCCCTCCCTACCTACCTAAGCTACGATACTGGGCAGAACGGCACCGACAGCGCATTGGCACGCATTCCGAGTCGTTTAAGCGCGCCTCTGCATCAGTGCCTGACGGTGAGCGTTCTCGGGTTATCATTCGCTCGAAATGCTCCTCAAGGATCCAGTGGCTGTGCAGGGTGAGGCCGAGGCCAAGTTATTTAATGTGCCGGACGGAAGTATTAAATACTAGGCTACTACTGCCGTGTGATGACGGATCAAAAATACGGAGTGTCAACACCCCTAATTATCCCGTGGATGTTATAACAGCCGCCTAAGGGAGCAAACTAAGCAGAATAACAGCACTGTGAAGAGAACGAAAACTCGAAACAAACCCTATAACAATCAGTCTGGCCAGCGTGGTATTATAAGCCAAAACCTCTGTTCTCAG